GAAAGAGGTAAGTGTGGGAAAGGGCCATCGGCAGGAACTATTGCGTGTCTGTGGCGGGCCCCTACCGTGCTGTGTGTGAAGAATATAACAAAAAGCCATGAAGGAAGGAGCCTCTTTGGCGGCATGCTTTGAGCTTCCTCTCAAAGCCCCAGCTGGAAGTTTTGTGGAGAAAGACCCAGGATTGTTCCTTACATAGCACAGGAAACGGTTTCAAGGCTAGTTCTCAGCGTTCCACAGCCAGGTAGGCTTGCGTTCAGTCCTTGTCTTTACTCTTTGACTGTGGCGTGGCCCTAGGCAAGCACACTACCTTATGTGTGCCCCTCTGGCTTTATGTATCGTGTGCTCCAAATAGATTTGTAACTTCCACTCTAGATAGTGGTCTCTTATAGTCAGGACAAGGGGATTATGACAATAGATTTAAACCTTGTAAATTTATCTTATATTTAATATATTAACATATTAAACTAATTCTGAAATTAAACTACGATTATATCATTTCCTCTTTCTGTTTGCTCTCACTCCAACACTTCCCCTGTTCCCTCTTACCTATAAGCTAGGTGTGGTGGCATATACTTGTAATCCCAGCACTCAGGAGGAGGAGGAGGCAGGAGGATCAGAAGTTCAAGGTTATCCTTGGTTACACAGTGAGTTTGAAACCAGCCTCACATATATGAAACTGTCTAAATAAACAAAAGAAAATAGCCTTTAAATATTATTTTTACATGCATTCTTTATTTCTTTGAGTGGGTTCGGATACCTATTTAGTATACTTTTATTTCAAATGTATATATGGGTTTGTTTCATGATATAAGGTGCTAGCCGCACTATGTAAGCCTCTTTCCCATTTATATATTTATTTTTGTCTTGGAGGTAAAAAATAAGAACAAAATAAAGTTTACCATCTTAATAATTCTTTCTCTCTATCTCATTCTTTCTTTCTTTTGTTGTTTTGTGAGACAGGGTTTCTCGGTGTAGCCTTGGATGTCCTGAAACTAACTCTGTAGACCAGGCTGACCTTGAACTCACAGAGATCTCCCTGCTGCTGCCTCCCAAGTGCTGGGATTAAAGCTGTGTACCACCACCACAACCGAGCAGGTATTTCTTTTGTTATTTTTAACTGGACTTTAAACCTCCTTTACAATTATTTTTGCAGCTATCATACAAAGTAGCAGGTTTGTTTCACTGAGCACGAGACTTCTTTCTTTTGTTTTAGCTCCAGGGACACCCTTCACAGGTCTCCTTGCAATATAATCTCTCCCTTTTTGAGTATCCAAAATGTCTTCATCTCTCCTTCATTCTAATGGATAATTTTGACTCGAGATAGAATTCTCACAGTTCTTTTCTTTTCTTTCTTTCATTCCTTTTTCTTTGGTTAATACTTTCAACATCGCTTCCCATTCCACTGCCTTGTGGCATGCATAGGTTTAAGGAGGGCTTTTTAGGTAGGGTCTCATGTAGGCCAGGCTGGCCTTGAACTCCCTATGTAGCCATGGATGAGCTAGAACCTACCTCCTGGGCACTGGGATGACAGGCTTGGACCACCACAACCAGCTCCTGATGAGAAATGAACTGTTCATATTATTTTAGATTTAGATTTTAGATTTTAGGTGATGCATGGCTTCTCTGTTTCTGCTTCTGAGGTCCTCTGCATCTTTGACCTCTCACAGTGACATAATGTCTGAGTATGGATCTTGCAGAGATCCTCCTTCTTGGAGCTGGTTTGGCTTCTTCCACATGTAGGTTAACGTTTTCCATCCATTTGGGGAAAGTTTGGACTATTCTTTGTTCCAATAGTCTTTTTTTTAACCACTGTTCTGCCCTCTACTCTTTTTGTGTTTGTTCGTTGTTGTACTAGGATGTGTCCCATGGGTCTCCTGCTTTCTCCCTATCTGCTTCTCACACTGGATTATATCAATATCTTCAAGGTTTTTAATTCATCCTATTGCCTGTTAAGACCTACCGTTGAACAGCTCTGGTAAATGGTTCATTTTCATTATTTTATTTTGATTCCATATCTCCTACTTTTTTATTACAAATCTCCATGCTTTCCTGATTGTCTCTCCTTCCTTCTTTTCTTCCTTGGTACTGGAAATTGAACTCCGAATCTTGCATGTGCCAGACAAATACCCTACCCTTGTGTTCTATCCCAGCCATCTGCTTTCTTTTCGAAACAGGATCTCACTAAGTTGCCCAGACTGCTCTTGAACTCACTCTGTAGTCCAGGCAGGCCTGGAACTTTTGATCCCCTGCCTCATCCTCTTTAGTAGCTAAAATGAAAGGTTTTTGACACTGGGTCTGGATCTATTCTCTTTTGGGTGAAACATCATTCTCATATCTTCTTTTAGCTCTTAGACATGATTCTCTTGCGCCTTTTTAACATTCAAAATAGGTGAATTTAAAAAGTCTAAAAAATGGGCTACTTAAGTATGTTTTTCTCCCTCCTTTCCTGTCTTTCTTTTTCTTTTTCTTTTGTGGATACACTTTCTATTAATTAGTTCTTGATCTTGTGTATGGGCTGTTTATCTACAGGTAACAAATTCTTTGGAAACTTGCCGTTTTGAGTGTGGTGTGTAGCAATCCTGGAAGTTGGATTCGTCTCCTCCAGGTTTGCTGTGGGTGCTGCTTGTAGTAGTGGATGCTTGTTTGCTCAGTGCATTCTATTTGAACTTCTAGCTGAGGCGGTAGGCCCTACCTCGTAGCTGTAGTTTATAAAGTAGAACTCTCCCTACTGTTTGCTTTGGCTGCTGAACAACTCTTTTGATGAAACTCGAGGCCAGTCACTTGGAGAAGAAAGTCATAAATATTAAGCTTTTCTTGATGCCTCTTAGATCTTAGCTGAGCAACCTCCATTCAAATAATTCATAAATCACAAAGCCAATCAGTATCCATTATCTGCCTTCATGTCAGGAAGAGAAGAAAATAACAAGAGATTTATAGGCATGAAAGAAGCTCTCATTCCATTCTTCTCGAAAGCTAGAAAAGACCCCAATGAAAACAAACCACAATGCGGGAGGAAGAATAAAATAACCCAGGAAAGATGGCCCTACCCCATTTCCTTCCATTCCTAAGCTTCCCGAGTCATGAGGGAGTATACTTGCCTAGAAACTAGAGTTGTGTGATCTTGCCAGAAACAGGCACTTAGACTTCCCCTCCGCAGCAAAAGGGACAGCCTTGCTGTCAATATGGAGGGGAGCGTATGCGACAGAAAGATTGGGAAGCATGGTCAGAACGCCTCCAACACTGGAAGATGGTGGGACCAGGGAGAGAAAGGGATTAGTGGGGACAAGTAGAGACAAAGAGTGGTCAAAAGATACCTTGTCTCTGAGGCAGGCTTAGAGTAAAAGATAATTGCTTCTTTTTTTCAGTTTCATGTTCTCCCCAAGCAGTTTTTAATATTGTCATCTGGGTTTTTGTAATATTTCTCAACTATCACCTGTTAATACTCATTTAACAGATACGAGTCAGGCACTGGGAATACTGAAATGAATAAAACAGATCCTTCTAGGTTGTTTGGGAAACTGGTATACAGAAAATAGTATTATAGTGAGGGCAAGGCTGTGAGTGAGGGAAGCCTGGGGAGCAGGAACCCTGGGGAGGCCCCTCACTCTGGCTCGGAGTGGGAGTGAGGGTAGGCAGCAGGATTCGGTACGGCCTCTGGCAGACGATAAGCATGAACTCAAACTCATATGACAACTTTGTCAACTGTTGCTGGCAGGAATGTGCAAGGGTGCAAGCACCCTAAAGAAAAGAAACAGCAAATGTAGACAGAAGTCACGGGGAATTTCTTGCATATTCATTCGGGTACATTCTACAATGGGAAAAATAGTTTTAGAAGATGAATATGGGATATATAAAGGATTCTAGAAGGAAATGAGATTAGAAAGCTAAATAAGGCCAGATCACAAAATACTCTGCATGCTTTAAGGAGGCATCTGCACTTCATCTTGAGGCTCATGGAGGAGTCAATGAAAGATTTCCCAGGGGAATGACCTGGATAATGGCAGGGAGGTAGTTAAGAGTGCAAACTGAAATCCTGTCATTTGCAACGGCATAGATTGAACCGGACGACATTATGTTAAGTGAAACGAGCCAGATGCAGAAAGACAAACATTACATGTTTTTACTGGTGGAATATTTAAAAAAAATATAGGGAGTCAAACAGTGGTTACCAGGGACTTCAGAGAGCTAGGAGAATAGGATGGGTGGGGAAAGTTGAACAGTGAGCTGTTAATAATGGAACAGTAACAAGGTTTTCTGCTGTTTAATTGCACAGTAAGGTGGCTTTAACAATAGGAAATAGTTTTGAACATCATCATTAAGAAATAGTAAAAGTAGAAGGTGTTGGGTATACTAATTAACCTGACAGTATCTATAAAATTTGTCTGTATTTATTATTATTTATTATTAAATCTATTATCCATCAGCTATCTATCTATCATCTACCATCTATCCATCCATCTACCCATCCATTCTTCCTCCTTTGTGAATTGGACTGGGCTTCGCACATGCTTGGCAAACCAAGCACTTGACTACTAAACCTATGTCCCTAGACCAGCATGTATGTTAATCAAAATATTATTCTCTACCCCATAAATATTATATAGAATAAAGACATAAATTGTATATTTATATTAAGAATCATAAATATACAAAAAATCTTTCTAAAAGAACACAGAATTTCTAATTGTTGATTTTAGAGATGCGGTCCCTGTCCCAGCAGCCTCAGTGTCATTGGGAACTTGTTAAAATGTTAAATCCTTGGGGTGGAGATGTGGCAGGGTTGGCAGAGTGCTTGCCTTGTGTGCACAAAGCTCTGGGCCTGAGTGCCCAGCAGGTGTGGTGGCATGGCCTGTGCCTATAATCCAATCCCAACGCTAGTGAGATGGAGAGGCAGGAAGGTCAGAAGTTGAGGGCCATCTTCTGCTACATTTGAGGCCACCCTTGACTACTTGAAACATTGTCTCAAAACAAATCCGCAGGCTTGAACTCCATTCTAGTTCCACGGAATCAGCAGCTGTCAGAGGTGGGATCCAGCCATCTGCGTGTGAGCAAGCTCTCCAGGTAATTATGATGCCTTCTCGAGTGGGAGAACTGCTTCTTGGACAGACTACCTAGGTTAGAATTCTAGCTCTCCTACTGGAAAATCTTGGGCAACTTTGAACCTTTTAGACGCCCAGTTTCCTCTACTATAAAATGGGGTTTTAAAGTTGTTATGGCAATTGGGTACATTCATTCGCATAGATGCTTAGAACAATACCTGCTCCATAGCAAGTTATGAACAGATGTGATGGTGAATGAATATTGCATGTTTTTCCGCACCTGCAATCCCAGTACACAAGAGGTAGAGGCAGGAGGATGTCCAGTTAGAGACCAGCTTGGCCTATGCAGTGAGATCCTGTCTGTAAAGGCCAAAGATTTGGGATGAACTTCAGTGTAGAGTGCTTGCCTGGCGTGCACGAGACTGTGGGTTTGAGCTGCAGCACTACAAAAACAAAAGATTCCTTCTCAATGCCTAACCCTTTTTATATGGCTTATGAACCTTAGTTTAGTGTCATAGCTCTGCCTCCCTCTCCTTGTCTCCCATTAAAAAAAAAATCTATTAAACATTTATTACAAGCAAGGAGGTTGCTTAAGGGGAATTAGCCTAGAGAGGACCATAGGACTATGGAGAGAATCCAGATCCACTCACTTTATAGAAAGGATAGAACTCAAACTATGGCATTGGACAAGTCCCTGTCCTCCATGTGCTGTGGAGTGTGGGGTCAGAGCAGAAGACCTCTAGGAGCTCTGGCATTTGGTGACTCTGCTTGCCTTTCAATGAGTCACACACGACAAACATTTATTGAGGTCTGTTCTCATAACATTCAGGGAATCTCATCACAAGCCCCTGAGAGAGCTATAATTCTGTTGTCCCAATTCAAAAGGCAAGTGCAGAAACCTACTGAAGATAAGTTTGCCTGAAATGGCACAGCGCCCAAGTGACAGGGCTGGGGTGTAAGCAGGCCCTGTCTGAATCTGGCACTGCATCCCTCCTGCCAGGTCACACTGCCTCCTGCAGCACACCGAGGGTTCCTCCACAGAGATAAACGTTCACGGTCATGCAATTAAGCAAGGGGCAGAGGAAAGACTAAAGTCCAGATTTTCTGACTCCACGGCCAGTGTTTGGTCTACAAATCCCAGTGGCCTCGAACAATGAAGGCTAACAGCATGTTAACTGTTGGACAGATGAATGGCTTGCCTCTTGCCTACAGGCTCCAAGAACCTTAAGTTAATAGACAACATACAAGCTGTGTAATGAACAGCCACATGGCACAGAGGTCACCAGACCCCTGCAGGAGTCACTTTGAAATGCCTGGTGGGATGCAAGTGGTTTGAGATGGACTTCCCACCCTAGGGTTGAGTCAGGAGCAGTTTGAAGGTGTGGGGGAAACTGGCGTGCTGGCTTTCTTTCTAAGAAAGAAAATAGAGCCTATTGGCCATATCCCTGTTTAGTGATTTTTTTTCACAATAATGTGGAATATTGGTATGCAGAAAGAAAATAGTAGAATCCCCTTTCCTGATTCTTTTTTTTTTCTTTGTGTCAGAGTTTCCCTATGTAGCCCTGGCTGTCCTGGAACTTGGTATGTAGACCACGCTGCCATCAAACTAACAGAAATCCACCTGCCTTTGCCTACTTTGTGCTAGGATTAAATGTGTGCCACCATGCTTGGTTATTGCTTGTGTTTTGGATGACTTTTAAACCTCTAGTTATATATATATATATATATATATATATTTAATAATATACATACATAAGTGACTCAGAAGTACCTGTTTATAATTTACAAATCACAAATGCACATGTAGTATCTCATTTTCTGTTTTGTACATACTTTATGCTATCCACGGTTAATCTATTAGTATATAGTTATAATGCATTACTGTAATTGGTAAAGTAGAAACATGTATTCATAAGTTACGCATACATGCAGTGATGAACAAATATTAAAATATCTGTTTGTGGGTATATTCAGAAGCTTTTGTTCTAAATAGGGCTGCGAGATAGACGTAGTAGTTCTCCAGCATCCATGAGGAGTTAGAATGTGCTGAGGCCTGGTTATGCAGCCATGCGGTGGAAACCTCAGCTTCTTTGGCATTTCCTGGCCACAGCTGTGCGTAGGCCATGCGGCCTGGTTTAAGAAGCTACTCTATGTGGAGAGACTGGCGGGAGAGAGCAAGTCCTCATCCCTACAGCGGCTGATACCTTGTGACAAAATTGCTTATGTGCTCCAGTACAAGTTTGGGTTGATCTGCACAAAGGCATGTTCTCTCGTAGTTGTAAACAATGTTAGAGACTATCATGCGGGTACTACAGTCTTTTATGGTAGTGAGAAAAAAGTGGTTTGTAATTAAAACAGGATTAGTATTTGTATCAAAGCTTCACATACAATTCATATATATGGAAGGATTAAGAGGAAATAGCCCAACCTGTGAGCACTCCTCTTAGTCTGTTTTTTTCTTCCATGACATTGTGGCTAATTAAGATAATCTCAGCAGCCCCACTGTGGAATGTCCCTCATTTTACAATCTCTCTGGGGTTACGGCCTTTCTGGCAAGAATACCAAAGAAGTGACATCACGCTATCCGTGACGCTCCTTGATCTTTTAATAGCTGTGTCTCCTTGTAAATTTTAATCATGTAATTTAAAAATCGTAAGTGTAAATGGTTGCAAAGATGCTATTTTCAATCTATTATAAAGATCAGCATTTAAAATAAAATTGTTAATTTATTTGAAGTGAATTGAATGGCTTTAAGTACCAAAGTGAGTTTAACCACCATCATTTAATTTTAAAAACTTATGAGCACAGTATTTTAAAATATTTATAGTCTGGGGGACTCTGTGGGTAAAGCGTTTGCTGTGTGAGCATGATGACCTGTGTTCAGATCTCCAGCACCCACATTTTTTTAATGCTGTAACCTCAATGCTGGATGGTGAAGGGTGGATAGGAAGTTTCCGAAGGCTTACTGGTCAGCTAATGTAGTCAAGATAGTGACTTCCAGATTCAGAGAGAGAACCTGTCTCAAAAAATTAGGTGGAAGGCAATAGAAGAAGACACATTTATTTGCTTGCTCTCTCTCTCTCTCTCTCTCTCTCTCTCTCTCTCTGTGTGTGTGTGTGTGTGTGTGTGTGTTTGGGGTGGTGAACGCATGTCACCATGCACCTGTGACAACCAGACGACAACTTTCGAGAATCAGTTCTCCCTTTCCACCCTGTGGATTCTGGGGATCGAACTCACGCAGTCAGGTTTGTAAGACAAGCCCTTTTATCTGCTGAGTCATCTAACTGGACCATCTCTTGCATTTCTATGTGTTAGGGTCTGCATGTCAATTAATACGTGAAATCCAGTTGACATTTTTAATTCAGTATTACATCATATCGTATCTCTAGGTCAATTTCAAGAGATGTAGTATTTTATTTAGTAACATTAAAAGTCTTTTGGTTAGAAAGTCTATGTTAGTCTTCTTGAAATTGAAGTTAGATTACCCTAGAGATGCCTGCACATCTCTGTTTATTATAGCATTATCACAATTGCCAAATTATGGGATCAGCCTGGGTGCCTATTAACAAATTAAAAAGAAAGAAACTGTAGTATATATGCACAATGAAGCTGATTCAACCATAAAGACCAGAATTGTGTATTTTTAGAAAAAAGTGATTAAAATTGGAGATCACCCTGCTAAATGAAATAAGTCAGACTCGGAAACACAAATATCACATGCTTTCTTTCCTACGTGTGATATGCTTTCTTTGATACTATTGATAGTGTGGGGGGAGGGTGAACATGAACGCAAAAGGGGTCTATTAGGGATATGAAAGGGGAAAACGGGGAATAAGAAAGCCTTAGGGCAGTGGACGGCGTGAATATGCATACAAACCTATGTGCACGTATAGAAATGGGGCGAAGATCGTTAGTTTGTATTATTAATGTATACTAAAGAAAAAAGTCTCCATCAGTCTTCTCAGTGATACCTTGTAGTTTCCGCTTTACAAGTCTTGTGCTTCTTTTGTTAAATTTAATGGCATTGTTTTGGTCTTTTCATTGTTTCATTCTTTTATTGTAAACACAGTTGATTTCTTGCTTTGTTCTTTTTATTGCTTTTTTATTGTAAACACAGTTGATTTCTTGCTTTGTTCTCTCTATTGTAAGTACAGTTGATTTCTTATCTTTACACTCAGACTGTCCATTGTTAGTGTATAGTAATCCAGTTGGCTGACACATTTTCTTGTATCCTAGAATACTGAGGAGTTTGACTTTTAGTCATTTGTTTGTGGATTCTTGGGAGTGCTTTCCAGAAAAGATCATGGAATCTCTGAGTAGAATCAAGTCCTTTGCTCTATTAATGTGATATACTAACCTCGCGTTTTGGGTGAAAATTCCACTTGTTGGATTCAGTTTACTAGCATTTTGTTGAGGGCTTTTTCTTAGTCTTATGATAAAATGCACGTAGGATTAGAAAACTCAGTCTCTGCAGAGATTTTGCGATGAGGATTTTCCCCTTCGAGGAGGCTTCCTGGCTCTCCAGACTCTAATGACATGTCCAGATTTAACGTGATGTCACAGGGGTATTTTCAGATAGACTTGCACTGACCTCATGTGCTTTGTGTTCCCAGTTGAACTCAAACTTTCCAGAGCTCAAGTTAATTTACTTTTCACCAAAAATTCACTTTCTTGGCTCTCTTTCGAGTGACACATGCACTTCTAAGTCTTCTTGGACATCAGGTACCAGCTGACCAAAAGTGGAACCCATTTAAGCAGGGCCAAAGTGGCTGGCATGTCTTTTGAAGTTCAAATAGATTTGGAAATGTGTGCCGCGTTGCTCATGTGATGTCAAATCTCACACTTCTGACATATAGTGTGTGACATTTGACAAACTCAAGCTCACAGTGAGGTGACCATTCTGTTTATAGAACCAAAAACCCTACTTAGGAATAGGGGCGTGTGTGCTGCCTGGATCCTGCTTCTTCTGATGACAGCCGTCTCAGACTGAGGCGGGCTTTGATAAAGAATCAGAATATACGG